TTTCCAAAGAAGGAGCCTCCACCACACTCCGGGGCAGAGAGTTCCACTGCTGAACAGCTCTCACAGTCAGGAAGTTCTTTCTAATGTTTAGATGGAATCTCCTTTCTTGTAGTTTGAAGCCATTGTTCCACTTGCTCCCTCCTCCCTATGACTTCCTCTCACATATTTATACATGGCTATCATGTGTCCTCTCAGCCTTCTCTTCTTCAGACTAAACATGCCCAGCTCTTTAAGCTGCTCTTCATAGGGCTTGTTCTCCAGACCCTCATAGCTGGCTACTTTTTCAAGGGGAGACTTCAGGGAGAAGCTCCCTCCTTTGAATCCAAGTCAGGAGTCTCTGGGAGGCAGCATCAAGCAAACGAACCAATAAGTGAAAAATGAAAAGCTCTTTCACGCTTCGCATGGGCAACACACCCACTTGGTTGTTCATTCCCACGTCTCCTCTCGACACCCTCCAGCCCATTTGTGAGACTGGAAGTGGGTCAGAGGAACCCAAACGGAAAGCGAATTAAGACCACCCCGCTGCCATTCTTCACTTCACTAGCTACTCATCCAGAGGAGCCATGTGAGATCCATGTGCCGTGCCGCTTCCTCTGAGCTTTGAGGTCGGCAGAACATGGTTGAAAGAATGGCAGCATACATACTGTTTGAAAGCAAAGAAGTGGCAAAACTTCAATATAGAGCAAATAGGGGCAAGGGGAACCCAGTAGGACAGGCCTGAAGCCTTGTTTTCACCTATTTCCTAGATCTATATTGCTCCCTGTCTTCTTACCAAAATAATGCTTCATGACCCTTTGTTTGAGAAGGGAAAACCATGAGACCTCTTTCCTATACAGACCTCAGGGTCAGTATTAGGGACTCTTCTACCAAAGTTAGGCAACTTTCCTTTTGTTTATGTACTCTTTTACCCAAGATGTATGAGCTGCAACAAAAGAGAAAGAGCTTTTGCCTTTTCATAGAATCAGGGCTGGAAGAGACCTCATGGGCCATCCAGTCCAACCCCCTACCAAGAAGCGGAAAAATCTTATGGCAGCGTAGAAAATGGCCCCACTTAACCAATTTTGTATTCTGCACAGTCAACAAGGGGAAGCCCCATGCATCCCCTATTGCAGTAGTCTAGCTTCATAGAACCATAGAATCCAGCTCCTCATGCGGGACATGAGAGAAGCCTCCCACAAGGATGATAAAAACATCAAATCATCCGGGCGTCCCCTGGGCAACGTCCTTGCAGACAGCCAATTCTCTCACACCAGAAGCACTTGCAGTTTCTCGAGTCACTCCTGACACGACAAAAAAAAATATTTGGAATTATAGAATCTTAAGAGTTGGAAGAGACCTCAAGGACCATCCAGTCCAACCCCCTACCAAGAAGTGGGAAAATCTTATGGCAGCGTAGAAATGGCCCCACTTAACCAATTTTGTATTCTGCACAGCCAACAAGGGGAAGCCCCATGCATCCCCTATTGCAGTAGTCTAGCTTCATAGAACCATAGAATCATTGAGTTGGAATCATAGAATCACAGAGTTGGAAGAGACCTCATGGGCCATCTAGTCTAACCCCCTGCCAAGAAGCAGGAAAATCGCATTCAAAGCACCCTGACAGATGGCCACCCAACCTCTGTTTAAAAGCCTCCAAAGAAGGAGTCTCCACCACACTCCGGGGCAGAGAGTTCCACTGCTGAATGGCTCTCACAGTCAGGAAGTTCTTCCTAATGTTCAGATGGAATCTCCTTTCTTGTAGTTTGAAGCCATTGGTCCGTGTCCTAGTCTTCAGGGCAGCAGAAAACAAGCTTGTTCCTTCCTTCCTAACCCTAAACATTCCCAGAGCACCAACCTGAGTATTTACTCTCTTGTTTCCTTCCATATATTCAAATGTTCAGGCTAATCGGTATTACATACCAAATATTCCAATTATATACTTTGTCCCTAGATAACTATTTGTAATGTATCAAATGTATCAGGCATCAGGGGATTATAGAGGCTGTAATCCAAGGCTCCGAAAGAGCCCCACATTCCTAAAGAGTGAGCCATTAATAGGCATAAAAGCAGGGCAGATCCAGCACTGACCCATTCCAGGAAGTCTTTCATTGAATCATCTAGTCCATCCCTTCTGCCACAAATCAAATCCCTCCTGACAGATGGTCATCCAGACTCTGTTTAAAAGTTTTAAGGTTTAAAAGTCTCCAAGGGAGGAGATTCCATCAGATTCCGAGGCAGAGTGTACCACTACTGAGCAGCTCTTCTTATGATTAGGAGGTTCTTCCTAATAATGTTCAGGTGGAATCTCCTTTCCTGTCATTTGAGCCCATGGCTCCATTCAGTCCCAGTCTCCAGGGCAGTAGAAACAAAGCATGGTCCTTTTCCCTTAAGGCAGCATTTCTCAACCTGGGGGTCGTGACCCCGGGGGGGGGGGGGTTGCCAAAGACCATCAGAAAACACAGTATTTTCTGTTGGTCATGGGGTTTCTGTGTGGGAAGTTTGGCCCAATTCTATCATTAGTGGGGTTCAGAATGCTCTTTGATTGTAGGTGAACTATAAATCCCAGCAACTACAACTCCCAAATGTCAAGGTCTATTTTCCCCAAACTCCACCAGTGTTCACATTTGGGCATATTGAGTATTCATGCCAAGTTTGGTCCAGATCCATCATTGTTTGAGTCCACAGTGCTCTCTGGATGTAGGTGAACTACAACTCCAAAACTCAAGGTCAATGCCCACCAAACCCTTACAGTATTTTTTGTTGGTCATAGGAGTTCTGTGTGCCAAGTTTGGTTCAATTTCATCATTGGTGGAGTTCAGAATGCTCTTTGATTGTAGGTGAACTATAAATCCCAGCAACTACAACTCCCAAATGACAAAATCAATCCTGCCAGTATTCGGCTGAAGATCTACCCTAGCAAACCTTTTGTATCGTTACCCCAATACCCCCATGCATATGGGATATACTGAGCATAAACATAACAGTCTAAATTGAGCATAAACGTAACAGTCTAAATTACATATTCTGCCTTTGGAGGCAGCATATTAGTAGCATAACTAACTTCATTTTAATATAGAACTGTTTAATAATAATAATAATAATAATAATAATAATAATAATAATAATAGGCCATTGAACCAAGCCAACGCTGGATATGGATCACATAGAGCCAATGTGCCCAACAGTGCATACAGGCAGGGATTGGGGAATGATTGCCCTTTTCAAATGGTAGTTGTTGTTTACCTGGATCCAGAAAGCACTGAAGGCAGCCAACATCATATCTGGACCAAACATGGCCAACTGTGCATACAGGACAGGCAGGGATTGAGGGTGATTGACCTTGGATCTGGGAGTTGCAGTGCACCGTTATCCAGAGGGCATTGAACCAAGCCAACTGGATCTGGACTAAACTTGGCACATAGAGCCAATGTGCCCAACTGTGCATAGAGGCAGGGATTGGGGAATGATTGCCCTTTTTCAAATGGGAGTTGTTGTTTACCTGGATCCAGAGAGTTCCAGAAGGGAGTCGACGGGCTCGACGCACTCCACTCCCAACCACGAGTGTGGCGAGACTTCTATGCACAGGCGCGAAGGCCTTCTGAGTGCGAAAGCCTATTGCGGCCTCCGAATGGTCTGTGCTGCAGTGGCACCTCTTTGGCGCCTGGGCTGTCAGCACACTCCCCTTCCTCTCCCGGCACTGAAGGCTGAAACCAGGGGCACTGAAAAGGAAAGAGAGTGCGCCAAGGGTCCAGGCGACAAGGACGCCACCGTGCACGTATCAGGAAGGCCTTCTCACGGACCACCATGAAAATTTGGGGGGGGGGAGGAAGCCCCTCAAGCACCCCCACGCCCCCAGCATATCAGATATTTACATGACGATTCATAAGAGCAGTAAAATTCCAGTCTTCTATCCTTCCCTCCAATGAGCGGTCAGGCTTTATTTATTGAAGTATGGACTAGTTGGATCTTCTTACAGTCTAAAACACTCTCAGAACTTGCCTTCAACACCACAATTCCATCGCTCAGTCTTCCCTATGGTCCTGTTCTCCCATCCGTAGGTGACTATGGGAAATACCATTGCTTTTACTATGTGGATCTTCGTTGCCAGTGTGATGTCTCTACTCTTCACTATTTTATCGAGATTGGACATTGCTCTCCTCCCAAGAAGTAAGTGTCTCCTGATTTCCTGGCTGCAGTCTGCGTCTGCAGTAATATTTGCACCTAGAAATACAAAGTCTGTCACTGCCTCCACATTTTCTCCCTCTATTTCCCAGTTGTCAATCATTCTTGTTGCCATAATCTTGGTTTTTTTTATGTTTAGCAGCAACCCAGTTTTTGCGCTTTCTCTTTCACCTTGATTAGAAGGCTCCTCAGCTTCTCCTCACTTTTGGCCATCAAAGTGGGATCATCTGCATATCTAACACTGTTAATGTTTCTTCCAGCGGTTTTCACCCCAGCCTTGCATTCGTCAAGCCCCACAAGCTGAATAGGTTGGGTGAGATTATACAGCCCTGCCGTACGCCTTTCCCAATCTTGAACCAGTCTTTAGTTGCCCTCTTTCCAGTGGCCCCCCTTTGCCCAGATTTTTTTTCTACCTAGCGTTTCAGCTGCTGTCCATCCACAGAGAAGGCAACAAGCGAACACAAAGCATGGCTCCGTAAGAGTAACATCAGCACTCACCAGGACTCAGCTTCTGGAAAGTATGCTCTCTGTATTTTCTTTCAGGACATCTGTGATACAGGGTTTCTTCCGGTATAAATAAAGTATAAAATCTTACAATTTGTTTTCTTTTGTCATTATTCTTAACAAAAATACTAAAAACTCATTAAAACCTGAAATCAAAGCGGGAAAGGGCTGGGGGAGACTCTACTGATCACACAGGATTTTGGAAACACTGGTAGAAAGTGGAGATTAAAAACACTCGCTCGGCGGCGCGAGCAGACCCTCCCCGTCCCAAACGCGGCGGAGTGGGGTCCGAGGGGGGGACGGGGACAGGCTTTTGGAGGAGAGCACCCAAGGTCCGAGCCCCATTCTCCAGCCATAGCCACAGGGAGAGGCCTCCTCAAGCCCACTGTCATGGCCGCCGGTCCTCCCTTGCTGGGCATCAATACCGTCCGAAAGGGTTGCTGTTCTGCTGGGGCTGCGTATCTGCAGGGAGAAAAAAGCAGTCAGAATCAGGCAAGAGGATTACACTCTGTATCATCGAAGGCTTTCATGGCTGGAATCACTGGGTTGTTTACCAGGCTGTATGGCTATGTTCAAGAAGCATTCTCTCCTGACGTTTCGCCTGCATCTATGGCAGGCATCCTCAGAGGTTGTGAGGTCTGTTGGAAACTAGGAAAATTGGGTTTATATATCTGTGGAATGTCTAGTGTGGGAGAAAGAACTTTTGTCTGTTTGAGGTAGGTGTGAATGTTTCAACTGGCTACCTTGATTAGCATTTAATGGCATAGCAGTTTCAAGGTTTGGCTTCTTACTGCCTGGGTACCAAAATTAGGCTACTGGTATTTAAAAAACTCTAAAATCATAACATTAAATAAAGAACAACACTCAAAAACAGGGGAATTCCAGACAAGAAACAACCAGGGCCAGCTAATCACCTCCCAACAATTCCTCCAGACAGTAAGAAGCCAGACCTTGAAACTGCTAGGTCATTAAATGCTAATCAAGATGGCCACTCTGGATATTCCTGGAAGGGTTTTGATGGCATCCTTCCTGACAGAAGCCGGTTGGACTGGATGGCCCTTTGGGTCTTGTTGGGTGAGTGGACTTATTAACAAAAGAGTGGACTTATTAACACATGCAACAACTGCGCCTGTACCTTGGGAAGTCTGATCTGGCCATGGTGGTCCACACTCTGGTTACATCCTGAATAGATTACTGCAACGTGCTCTACGTGGGGCTGCCTTTGAAGACGGTTCGGAAACTTCCGTTAGTTCAATGGGTGGCTGCCAGATTACTAACTGGGGTGGCATACAGGGAGCATACCACCCCCCTGTTATGCCAGCTCCACTGGCTGCCGGTCCATCTCCGAGCCCAATTCAAAGTGCTGGTTTTGACCTATAAAGCTCTATACGGTTCGGGCCCAGCTTACTTGTCCGAACGCATCTGCCCCTACGTCCCACCTTGCAATTTAAGATCATCCGGGAAGGCCCTGCTCTTGCTCTCGTCAACAGCGCAAATGCGGCTGGTGGGGACGAAGAGCAGGGCCTTCTCGGCTGTGGCCCCCCCACCTATGGAACACACTCCCAAAGGAGGTAAGATCTGCTCCCTCGCTCCTGACCTTTAGAAAAAAAATTAAAATCATGGTTCTGGGACCAGGCCTTCGGACAATAGATGTATGCAGCTTTTAGTGGGACAAGGACTGGAACGGCGACTTGACTGATGAGATTGTTTTATGGTTTTAATAACTGTTTTGATATTTGATGATGTACTGTTTTTAATATGATTTATGTTTAAAGTGTGGTTTTACTATTGTAGTTGTAAGGCATTGAATTTTTGCCATTTTTTATGTGCGACCTGAGAAACTGCAAGTCGCTTCTGGTATGAGAGAATCGGCCGTCTGCAAGGATGTTGCCCAGGGGATGCCTGGATGACTTGATGTTTTATCATCCTTGTGGGAGGCTTCTCTCATGTCCCCGTGTGAGGAACTGGAGCTGATAGAGGGAGCTCATCCGCCTCTCCCCGGATTCGAACCTGCGACCTGTCCTGCCGGCACAGGGGTTTAACCCACTGCGCCACCGGGGGCTCCATAATTTTTGCAATTATCTATGTGTAAACCGCTTTGAGTCCCCCTCGGGGTGAGAAAAAGCGGTATATAAATACTGTAAATAATTAAACAAACAAACAAACAAACAAACAAATAAAAGACCCTCCTCATAAATATACAGTAGAGTAACTTATCAGCAGCAGCGTTACCCAGCACCAATAGCCCAAAGGGATAAAAAGATCAAAAACACATAGACCAATACTATCTCTTCCATAGAAGGCTTTTCTTTGTAGTAAAATAGTAGTTACACTATTTACATGAACAAGGTTTCCACAACACAAATAAACACAGCTACACACAGCAGCTTTCTCACACGAGGCTTCTCTCACACAGAGGTTTACCTCACACTCCTTTGGACGACGCTAGCTTTGGCCCACTAACTCTAACAGGCTTCAGCCTACTCACGCTCCACCGAACAATACTAGCTTTGGTCCAGTGACTCTAACAAGCTTTGGCCTACTAATGCTTTCATTGCTTGACTCACACTTTTGTAATCAAATATACCCAGTTAATTTTTAATATTTCTGACAGGTCTCTCCCAACTCTAGGATGCCATGATCCTATGGAAGCCTTACTCGAAAGCTGCTGCTGGAGCTGCCGGACCAGGGCTGCCGTCTGCTGCTGCTGCTGCGTCTGCTGGAGGCCTTGCCGCTGGAACTGCAACACAAAGTGGGGGGGGGGGGGGCACATTAATTGTCCTTGTTTAGGGGTCCCTTTCAAATCTATGATACTATATCTGTGTGTGTGTGAGTCATATATATCTCTCTATATCTATGGCTGGATGGCTCTTTGTCAGGAGGGCTTTGATTACGTTTTCTTGCCCTGGTGAAGGGAGTTGGACTGGATGGCCTTAAGTATTTTCTGTTGGTCATGGGGTTCTGTGTGGGAAGTTTGCCCCAATTCTGTCATTGGTGGGGTTCAGAACACTCTTTTATTGTAGGTGAACTATAAATCCCAGTAACTACAACTCCCAAATGTCAAGGTCTATTTCCCCCAAACTCCATCTGTGTTCATATTTGGGCATATTGAGTATTCGTGCCAAGTTTGGTCCAGATCCATCATTGTTTGAGTCCACAGTGCTCTCTAGATGTAGGTGAACTACAACTCCAAAATTCAAGGTCAATGCCCACCAAACCCTTCTGTATTTTCTGTTGGTCATGGGAGTCCTGTGTGCCAAGTTTGGTTCAATTCCATCATTGGTGTAGTTCAGAATGCTCTTTCATTATAGGTGAACTATAAATCCCAGCAACTACAACTCCCAAATCACAAAAGTTTTTGAGTGATGGTCACTCCTTTTGTTGTGAGATGTTTTGTTGCCAAATTTGGTGTGATTTCGTTCATTGGTTCTTTTGTTTTTAAGGTACTCATTATGCACAGAGCATTTATATATATATATATATATATAGAGAGAGAGAGAGAGAGAGAGAGAGAGAGAGAGAGATACTGTATATATTCAAGCATAAGCCGGCCCAAATATAAGCCGAGGCACCTAATTCTACCACAAAAAAACTGGGAAACGTATTGACTCCAGTATAAGCCGAGAGTGGGAAATACAGCAGCTACAAATAAATTCCAAAATAAAAATAGCTACCAATAACATTACATGAATTGCGGCATCAGGAGGTTAAATGTTTTTGAATATTTACATAAAATTGTAATTTAAGATAACACTGCCCAACTCTGATTAAACCATTATTCTGACCTTCTTCAATGTAAATATGCTTACGTATAATAATAATAATAATAATAATAATAATAATAATAATAATAATACTTTTTTTATACCCCGCTCCATCTTCCCCAAGGGGACTCGGTGCAGCTTACATGAGGCCACACCCATCAATACAATACAACAATGTAACACAAAAACATAATAAAACCAAACAAAATACAAAAAAAATGCAAAAACAATATAATATACACCACAACAATATAGAATCAAGTATTAAAAACACAGAAGATTTCACTGGGCAGGGCCAGTTTCAGGGATAAAAATTTAAAAAACACTGGGAGATAGGACAGTGTAAATTGTAAGGAGGGGAACCCTTCCAATAATAATAAATAGAGTAAAATAATAGATGTAATAATAATAACAGGAAATTAATAAATAACTTTGACTCGAGTATAAGCTGAGGGCAGCTTTTTCAGTCTAAAAAAAGAACTGAAAATGCAATAATAATAACAGGAAATTAATAAATAACTTTGACTCGAGTATAAGCTGAGAGCAGCTTTTTCAGTCTAAAAAAAAATCCCTGAAAAACCCTGGAAGGGTGAACACCCCGCTGTGGGGTTTCCATTACTGTTTGTGCCCCTCTCAGAACATTTCACCTCACTTTCCGTCCCTGTAAGAATTGGATTTTGGAAAAATTGGCTTGTTGTGGAAACAAGGATTGGGGATAAAGCTTCAGCTGAGACCTCTTTTCCCCTGGATAATAACTCTTCCAGAAGTGGATTTCCCTTCCTAGAGGTAGATTTCCCCCACTTCTGTTGTCTCAGTCCTGTTCTTAACTATGAGCCATTTGTAAGTCGGATGTTTGTAACTCGGGGACTGCATGTATTATTATTGTTGTTATTAAAATTATTGTCATTGTCGCCGTTGGCCGAAGAGAGGGCCTACTTACCATGGGCTGCTGGGGAGCCAGGGCCTGCATGCCGAGTCCCGGGGGCTGGCCCTGCGCTTGGGGTTGGGGGACGCTGGGGACCTGGGGCTGCGGCTGGGGCTGCTGTGGAGGGGGCTGCGGCTGCGGAGGGGGCTGCTGCTGCTGCTGCTGTTGCTAGAAAACCAGAACAGAAAAGAGAAAGAGTCAGTCATATTGAGGAAGGAGTAGGGACAGCAAAGTCTTTCCTAGGAGGGAAGGGAGGGGTTAGACAGGGTTTGGGGGAGGCAGTAGCCTTGCAGGAAGAAAACAGGAAGACACCTTCTTTTCCAACCAGCAATTTGGGACATTTCCTCCCAAGGGAAAAAAAAACACCTTTGGAAACTATACGGTGTTCGGAAGCTATTCGAAATCTGGTAGCCATTGGGTTGTTATAGGTTTTTCCGTGCTATATGGCCATGTTCTAGAGGCATATTTTCTCCTGACCAACCTGGACACAGCATATTATTTGAGAACACAGAAATGTTGGACCACTCTCACAACCACCATGTCAGACTACACAGAGAAGCCATTGAAATCCACAAGCATGTGGACAATTTCAACAGAAAGGAAGAAACCATGAAAAAGAACAAAATCTGGCTACCAGTATTGAAAAACTCTAAAATTACAACAGCGAAACAACAGAGAGTAAACAATCAGGCACACAAATTCACCTATCAAAAAAACATTCCCCCAGGCACTTCCAAGCCATTAAATGCTAATCAAGGTGGTCAGTTGAAACAGTCACACCTAGCTCTAGCAGACAAAAGGCCTTTGTCCCACCCTGGTCATTCCACAGATATAAACCCATTTTCCTACCTCCAAACAGACCTCACTACCTCTGAGGATGCTTGCCATAGATGCAGGCGAAACGTCAGGAGAAAATATGCCTCTAGAACATGGCCATATAGCCCGGAAAAACCTACAACAACCCAGTGATTCCAGCCATGAAAGCCTTCGACAATACTCTGGTAGCCATTTCACACCAAATATGCAAAGGAAATATTTTCTGGATAGAAAACGTCTTGGGCCCCAAAAGTTCAGTTCCAGCTATTTCCTCCCACTGCAAAAAATTAAATTAAATTAAAAAATCCCTGAAAACTATACAAACTATTTGCAATTTGGGAGTCATTTTGCACCTAGTCCTTCTCCAAAGAAAACAATGTTCCAGGCAGAAAACGTTTGCTGCACAGAAAGTAATAGTTCAGCACAGAATTATCATTTCTGTGCAAAACATCCAACTGAGAAATTGGGCAGAAACAAGTCTCATCAATCCAGATTCCTTCTTGCCAGGGTTTCTCAAGCTGGAAAAATGTGCTTTGTGTAAAAGGTAAAGGTAAAGATTTCCCCTGACATTAAGTCTAGTTGTGTCTAACTCTGGAGTGGTGGTGCTCATCTCCATTTCTAAGCCAAAGTGCGGATGTTGTCCGTAGACACCTCCTAGGTCGTGTGGCCAGCATGACTGCATGGAGCATCGTTACCTTCCAGCAGAAGCGGTATTTATTGATCTACTCACATTTGCATGTTTTGGAACGGTTAGTTTGGCAGAAGCTGGGACTAACAGTGGTAGCTCACCCCACTCCCTGGATTCAAACCGCCAATTTTTTGGTCAACAAGTTCAGCAGCTCAGCAGTTAAACCTGCTGCACCACCAGATTAATGTACTAGATGATGCCAATTGTGCCTGATATGAAGTGCTGGGGATAGATCGATTGGTGCGGATGAGGGAGAGGGCCTTCTCTATGGTGGCCCGCTGACTCTGGAACTCACTCCCCAAATGACAAGCCCCAACATTGGCAGTCTTTAGGAGGAGCCTGAAAACCTGGCTGTTCCAGTGTGCCTTCCCGGAATAAAGGAAACAATTCCCTGCAAAATATCCTGAGAAGCACTTTAATTACCCGTTGGGTTGCTCTCTACTTTTCGTTTAAAACCTTCCTTCTAGATACTTCTTACCTCTGTTCATGTCCAGCGTTTATTTTTAAAGTTTTGACTATTACATCTGGACCGGCCATAGGTTTTTAAATCCTTGCGTGTTATTGTCTATGTGTGAGTTATATTAATTGTATTGTTTATTTTGCTTACTGCTTGTTGTTTTTATTGATGTGTTGTTGGGCTTGGCCTCATGTAAGTCACTCCGAGTCCCTTAGGGAGATGGTGGCGGGGTATAAATAAAATTATTATTATTATTATTATTATTATTATTATTATTATTATTATTATTATTATATATTCCACCTGGAGCTTTGCTCCTCCCAAATCCACTGAATCCCCCTCTTCCTGCGCTGGAGGAATGCAACATAGCTCTCTCTCTGGGGTCGACTTCTCTACTCTTGACATATCTCTTTCCTTTTCTGTTTTGCAATGAGAAGGCGGCTGCGGAAGACTCGACGAGCCTCTGAAGTCTGGCTTCAAAAGATGACTTAAACGGGCTGAGAGGAGGAACCCTTTGGGGCAACAATGGAAGAGACCAGACACAGGCGACCTGGCACTCGATGCTGATCGCGGAGAAGTTCCCCCTGCGCCTCTGTAGCTCCAGGGGATGAAAAGCGAGCAAGAGAGAAAGCGGAGACCCGGCTTAGAGGAAAGCATTGCATTGTGGAGCTCTTGAGAGGCGCTCCTGGGAGGAGATGTGGGGAACGTGCAGCCCATCAGCAGTAGAAGGAGCCCTTTTCTTCCATTGCTTCTCCTTTGATAGCCCTTAGGGAGCATGAGAGCACTTCTATTATGTTTTGGGCCCTCTCTGGGCCACTATAATCAAAGGGAAAGCCTTTTCCCCGCCTAACAAACCATAGTCTCAGGAGAAAACCAACTAAGACACAGGAGAAGGCCACCTTGGGGTTGGATCCAGGAGGCCTTTTAACCTGGAGGTGTTGTATTACAAACTACAAGAAAGGAGATTCCATCTGAACATGAGGAAGAACTTCCTGACTGTGAGAGCCGTTCAGCAGTGGAACTCTCTGCCCTGGAGTGTGGTGGAAGCTTTTCAACAGAGGCTGGATGGCCATCTGTCAGGGGTGCTTTGAATGCAATATTCCTGCTTCTTGGCAGGGGGTTGGACTGGATGGCCCATGAGGTCTCTTCCAACTCTATGATTCTATGACTCTATATAACACAATTTTTGTCCCTGGGTTATAATTGTCATTTCCTAATTGGTTCTTCCATAAAAACATGAGAAAGGTTAGGTTCTTGTGGGTTTTTTCGGGCTATATGGCCATGTTCTAGAGGCATTTTCTCCTGCCGTTTCGCCTGCATCTATGGCAAGCATCCTCAGAGGTAGTGAGGTCTATTAAGTTGCCAAAACTTTGTTCTTGCAGGAGGGACATCCTGCAGCACATTTCGTTCTAGTTTTTCAATAAGTATCTCATAGCGTCTCAACCAATTCAACATGGTTTGTGGCAGCTACAAAAACAAAGTTTCTGGAGGAGAACAACTCCTTTAAAAGTAAAGAGAGGATGCTTGCCATAGATGCAGGCAAAACGTCAGGAGAGAATGCCTCTAGAACATGGCCATATAGCCCGAAAAAATCTACAACAACCCAGTGGTTCAATTCCATCACTGGTGGAGTTCAGAATGCTCTTTGATTGTAGGTGAACTATAAATCCCAGCAACTCTCAAATGACAAAATCAATACTCCCCCCAACCCCACCAGTATTCAAATTTGGGTATATTGGGTATTTGTGCCAAAATTGGTCCAGTGAATGAAAATGCATCCTGCATATCAGACATTTACATTACAATTCATAACAGTAGCAAAATTATAGTTATGAAGTAGCAACAAAAATAATTTTATGGTTGGGGGTCACCAGAACACAAGGAACTGTATTAAAGTGTCACAGCATTGGGAAGGTTGAGAACCACTGTTTTAAGTCATATCGGGGGATACCATAGACATACATTAATCAAGTAAGTCTGTAAATAAAAGAGAGGAGAGGCTTTTGCAAGAGAAACTAGGTCTTAAATGCTCCAGAGAGGGCCAAAAGCATGGCAAATTGTTCCATGAGAGCATTGTGAGGATGAAAAGTTCCTTGTTGACACTCCCAAGTTTAACAGTTTGAATCTGAACCTAATCTAATAGCAAAATAACTTTGCAGGAATTCAATTGGGAGCTCTGTTGATCTTCAGGGGGTTCCTTTTTCTATCAAGTCCCTCGCTGACTGTGCGCCAAGATTTCTGACTGACTCTGAGCAGCCAAAGAAAAACCCACAAGAGAACATAAATAAAGGTAACATTCTCTTGGCAGATGCTTGCAAACAGGAAAGACAGAAGAGATGCACGAAAGGAGGAGATTCCTTTTGTGCATCTTCCTGACCGTAAGAAGAGCTGTTCAACAGTGGAACTCATTGCCTCGGAATCTGGTGGAAGCTCCAGAAGCTGGATGGTCATCTGTCAGGGGGGATTACATTGTGCCTTTCCTGATTAAAGGAGGAACTGGATTAAACTTGTGGTCTCTTCTAATTCTATGATTCTGTGGAAAGGAAACCCATGTCATCCTGGATTTGTGATCTGAGACAAGGAGTGTCAGAAACATTAAAAATTAACTAAGCATTTTAAATTACAAAAATGTGAGTCAAGCATTGAAATGGATGCACTGACTCAGTAAAAGCTGCAGTTCTATATAAGTAGGTGTTCCTGTAGCTTAGTAGGCCTCTGTGTTAGTTTGCCTCAGTGGGAGAAAGGCCTCAGTCTGTGAAAAGGCCTCACAGTGTGAGGTTGGTCTAGGTCTGTGAGAGAAACCTCTGTGTGAGGTAAGCAAAAGCTGCAGTTCTATATAAGTAGGTATGCCTGTAGCTTAGCAGGTCTCTGTGATAGTTTGCCTCAGTGGGAGAAAGGCCTCAGTCTGTGAAAAGGCCTCATAGTGTGAGGTAGGTCTTGGTCTGTGAGAGAAACCTTTGTGTGAGGTAAGCAAAAGCTGCAATTCTATATAAGTAGGTTATTTTTGGGTCTTGGCCACACATAAAATATGTTGTTCTAATGTGAGATTCCCAATACATTGTCCGTAGGGCTGATTGGGGTAAATTGTAGGGGTGATAATGAAATATGATGTATATACTCAGCTTGATCAGTTTATCAGTTTTATCATGTCTTATCATATTTATTTACTGTATTGTTATAAGTGTCTTATTTTAACTTACTACGTGG